TTATTTATTATATTCCTGCACTATTTGTTACTGTTGTATGCCAATGTTTTATGTTTTTTTAATTCTTTGTGATATGTTGTAAGCCGCCCAGAGTGGTAGAATATACCAGATGGGCGGGATATAAATCGAACAAAGAAAGAAAGAAAGAAAGAAAGAAAGAAAGAAAGAAAGAAAGAAAGAAAGAAAGAAAGAAAGAAAGAACAATGCTTTCATTCAATAACTAGGACCTGGAATTGTAGAAAATTGCTAACTCCCAATGGCCATCCTGCTGTAATAGCCCAGGTCTTCGGCACCCAGTCTAATGTGTTGCCCATCTTGACACCAGAAATTCCTTCCTGCACAACCAACTAACTCAATAATCTTTTTTTTTTTTTTGGCTTCTTGAAAGAGAGTGGCAGAATGTTACTGGGCATAGCTATGCCAGGCGAAAGAGGCCATCCTGGCCTTGAATTCCCAGTCCACTAGAGGGACGGCAGTTTTGCCACATGGGAAGCTTCATCTCAGAAGACATGTATGAACTCCTTCTTTTCTTGAGGATCTCCTTGAAGAAAGTGGCCACTCTTTAGCACAAGAAAAACTAACAACATTAAATACACATTTCAAACCCAGAGGCTTAACAACACAGTGGAATAAAACTAGTGCCTCATAAGATTCAGCCCATGATCCTCATGGTCAGTTAGAGCAGGCCTTGTTGATGAGAACTTCTCTGAGCTTCTCTTGACACATAGGTCTCATGCGTTAACTTCTGGAGAAGTTAAATATAGAACCAGGTGGAGGCTTAACAACACAGTGGAATAAAACTTGTGCCTCATAAGATTCAGCCCATGATCGTCAATTAGAGCAGGCCTTGTTGATGAGAACTTCTCTGAGCTTCTCTTGACACATAGGTCTCATGCGTTAACTTCTGGAGAAGTTAAATATAGAACCAGGTTCCTTGGCAAGCTCTCGTCCCTCTACTTGCAACACCAGCAAGGGCTTGTCTTAAGGGAATGTTTAATCTTTGATTTTTTCATCCAGCTCATCATCTTCCTTCTAGCCTTATCTTCAATTAATTCTTAGAGATAATAGACTTCCTCTCCTCCCTCCCACACTCAGAAGCTTTTAAACGCTTAACTGCAGGATGGAGGCATTTTGAGAATGGTCACATTACAAGAGGGAAAAGATGATGCTCCTTACCCGGATATCATCCATCTGATAATGTGTTGAGATATTCAAATATCTCTAATTGTGTAATGAAAGCATTGGGTTTGTGGCGGGCATATCTGCTGATAAGTGTATGGTTGAGTGAATGGGGTCTAGGCAATACCAATGGGGGACACATCCTAGCACTGAATGTTACCAAACTCGGGGTAGATTGACCCCCATGGCTGGTACACTTGCCTGGTACCCATTTGGCCATGGGAGGAAGCAGGCTATTTCCATTGGTGAAGCACAGGTGAATACAGCGGAGGAAAGAGGTCTAGGTAGACAGGATCATCAATGAGGTTTCAGGTTTGAATGATAATGGTTGCAAAGACAATAATCTACTGCTTGTCGTATTGTAATCAAGAACCCTGACTTCAAAAGAAAATCAGTAGGACGTGACTCAGAATGTGAATACAGTACAGCGGAGGAAAGAGGTCTGGGTAGACACAATCGTCAATGAGGTTTCAGGTTTGAATGATAATGGTTGCAAAGACAATAATCTACTGCTTGTCCTATTGTAATCAAGAACCCTGACTTCCAAAGAAAATCAGTAGGATGTGACTCAGAATTGATTTGCATAGGGATGCATTGGTAATTATATCTGCTCCCTGCTTAAAATCTAGGTCCCCTTAAGTATAGGCAAGTTGGAAAAAGCAAGCTTGCAAAATAGCTTAATATTTATTAATACCCATCTTCAGCAACTCGATTCGAAGAGTGTTGAGATAAAGGACTGTGACAGTCGAAACAAAATGCCTGGATTATTTAAGGAGTCAAAGCGGACTGGGGAAATTATTGATTGATTGATTGATTGATTGATCGAAACAAAATGCCTGGATTGTTTAAGGAGTCAAAGCAGACTGGGGAAGATATGATTGATTGATTGATTGATTGATTGATTGATTGATTGATTGATTGATTGATTGATTGATTGATTGATTGATTGATTTGATTTGATTTCTATCCCGCCCATCTAGACCAAAGGTCTACTCTTTGTAGGTGCAGAAACAGGATCAAGAAATCAGATGAAACATTCTACATAAATATTCAAAGGGAGGTATAAACATTTCAGGAAAAGCCTAACACAATATATCTTAATTCCCAGTGGTGGAAAGTTAAAAACAAGAACCCTGAAGGAGGCACATAGCCAACAGGCAATCTGACTGAATCTGGCCATGTACATTTTCCCACTTTTGCAACCTTTTTAAAACACACCCAGAGGCAGTTTGATGTCAGACTGTAGAGCAGGTTAGAAGGCCTTGTGTCCTTCAAATCATAAAAGCAAAACATCACAGCAGTGGAACCCTGGCTTTCTAGGAAGGGTGGCACCCAACATTTTTGGTGGTTAGAGGCAACGTTGCCTAAAGATTGTGAGCTATCATGAACTGCTGGCTGCTAATTCTCAGCTCTGCCTCCCTCTCTTGGTGGTGTTCACTTCAGAACTGTACTACCACGTTGTAAGAGGTAAGCCTTAGTCATTTTGTGCCATCTATAAATTCATAAATATTCCCTGCTCTCCCACATCCAAGTAAATACAGTGGACCCTCGACTTACAGACGGCTCGACTAGCCATCATGAATTGCTGCCTGCTAATTCTCTCGGTAGCTAATTCTCTCGGTCTTCTTCATGGATTGCTGCCTTGTCTCGGTGGTGTTCACTTCAGAAATGTACTACCACGTTGTAAGAGGTAAGCCTTAGTCATTTTGTGCCATCTATAAATTCATAAATATTCCCTGCTCTCCCACATCCAAGTAAATAGTAAAAATGTCGAAGAGCACTGGGCCCGGGATGGAGCCTCGTGATATACCACTTATTACCTTCTGCCAGCTTGAGAAGGAGCCACTGGTAATCGCTCTCTGAGTAGGATTCTGTAACCAATCGTTAATTCCCCCAGCCCACGCCTAGCGAGTTAGCATAAATTCATAAATATTCCCTGCTCTCCCACATCCAAGTAAATAGTAAAAATGTCGAAGAGCACTGGGCCCGGGATGGAGCCTCGTGATATACCACTTATTACCTTCTGCCAGCTTGAGAAGGAGCCACTGGTAATCGCTCTCTGAGTAGGATTCTGTAACCAATCGTTAATTCCCCCAGCCCACGCCTAGCGAGTTAGCTCCCTCTCTGTATAGGATTCTGTAACCAACGGTGTATCCACCTGATCGTTGTTTCCCCCAGCCCACGCCTAGCGAGTTAGCTCACAACAATATACTGCAAAAATTTATATTTTAAATATCGCAGAAAACCATCCATGATTTTTGCACCTTTTACGTAACAATGGGTTACTTTAACTGTTCTGGGTTTGACATGTTGTTGTTTAGTCGTTAAGTCAGGTCCGACTCTTTGTGACCCCATGGACCATAACAATGGGTTACTTTAACGGTTCTGAGTTTCACATGTTGTTGTTTAGTTGTTAAGTCGTGTCCGACTCTTTGTGACCCCATGGACCAGAGCACGCCAGGCCCTCCAGTCTTCCACTGAGTTTCACACATTCTCTTATTTTTATTGAGTGAAATGTTCCAAGGAGAATGGTTTCTGTCAGCATTGCCATCCCTGAACCTGCCCCCTCATAGTTCCCCCCAAACACCCCATATCAACTTCTGCTCTGGAGGGCTGGGCAGACGGGAGATAAATGGAGAGCAGAGAAGGGAATAAGGTAGGTTGTATGCATGGAAATTTGCTCGAGTGACATGGCATGATTCACATGGTATTTTTATACCATTTTTAACCATCCAATTTGTAGAAGAAAATGGCTCACAATTCTCTTTACTCGTTCTGTCAATTGAAAGAGTTAACAGTTAATAATCGAGAAAAAAAATACCTGTATCAGAGTATCTGTATGAAGGCTTGTCCCGATCCGCCACAGACTCCCGATGATAGGAAGAGCCAGAGGTCCAGGGGGGTAGTGTCTGCGCATCCATTGTTGTTTCAGGAAGAGGAAAATAAGAAGAACCACCGAGAGAACTATTAAAAATGCCCATGTCTTCATCTTTCTTTTCTCCTTTGATTCTTTCTAATAGGAGGTAGGATGGAAAAGCCAGCCTGAATCTTCTTTCTCCACTAGCTTGATACATCTCCTGCTTTACCCCCCAATCAACATACTTATATGCGTCAGAGTTATTAAAAATACACACACTTATTAAATACAAATAGGCAACAACCATGGATATAAACATGCAACAGCTATGTCCGGTGAGATCTTGCCCTTTGGGCATCTGTTATAGGACACTGTCTTAAGCAATATGCTTAATTGTTATGGTGTGTTGCTCAGGTCTTCTCCATACGGAGCATTTACTGTATACTTCTCCCCTTTGTGCTTTCCTGATGTTGCCTGATGACAAATCAGCATGTAATATGTTGGTGTTTTCATTCATTGCTACCTTTTAAAGAACCCAATTCTTCTCTCTTGAAAAAAGATCAGCATCTCTTTCAAAATCTTTCCGCAACATTGAAGAAATCTTTTAGAAATGAATTTCTGGTGGGGGGGGGTTGTTTATCATTACTTCTCTCCTGCTCATTTCTTTTGATTCGTGTCTGATTTTGGAGAGGGTTTGCTTCCCTCTTTCTGCTTGGCTTCTGTTGCTGTCTGATCTGTTTTCACTCTTCAGTTATTCCTGCCTGTTTATATGCTAGAAGGATCCTTCCTTTGCCTGCTGCCGTCTCCAGAAGAGGTGAGAAAATGTTTAGAAAGGGGGAAAGGGATTGGAAGGAAGAGCCATAGAAAAAGAAAACAGGGGAGAGAAAAAAGAAGAAAGGATGAGAGGAGCAAGAACGAATGAAAGAACAGAGGAGGACACGCCACAATAAGGTGGCCAGCCAAAGCTAAGAGACTTTGCGAGAGGCAACAAATGCACTAAGTAAAAAGGACAGTAGCAAGTGGGCAGGGGGGAGAGAATCAAAAAGAGAATTAAAAAAGGAATTGCAAAACAAAAAAACAAAAACAAAAAAACAACTTCTGAGTATTCCCTACCAGAAAACCCTGAAAAGAGTCACAGTTAGACTTGATACGACAACCCCTATGTTGAAACAGAGACAGCTTTGGTTGTCTGGAAAACTTTGTTCTTAGGAAGTATCTTGTTCTTAGGAAATTTTGTTCTTTTGAAATTTTGTTCCATGAAGTAGATGGAAAATTAAGTTCTTACGAAGAAGCGTAATTTGTCTAATCACAACTATAATTATTGCTCCAATGTAGGGTGGGCCTTTTTTCCTCTGAAAAAGGAGATGATTATCCGCCTGACCTTAGAAATGATTGATGAGGATCTATATTGCCATATTGGTGTGACACTTATTTTGTCCTACTCTCTAAATATCCTTGCGAAACCACTGAGGCAGAGAGTTGGGATCCCGGACATGCTCCATTTTCCCTCCTCGTCTGAGGTCATGATGGATTGCCACGTGGCTGGAGGCAGCCACGAACTGGGTGAATAAACTTGTACTGAAGGGAGGCCCGGAAAGAAAAGACAAGAAATTGGGCCTTCTCGGCGGTGGCTCCTCGCCTCTGGAATAATCTACCCCCTGGTATTTGCGCGGCTCCCTCGCTGGGTATTTTTAAGAATCAACTAAAAACATGGATGTTTCTGCAGGCCTTCCCCCCAACAAATTCCTGATTTCCCCTTCCTTTCCTCTCCCCTATTGTCTATTGCACTTTGTTGTAAGTTCTCCGTTATGTAAAAATCGGTTTTATATATATTGTGTATTTTTGTTGTAAGCCACCTAGAGTGGTCTCAACCAACTAGATAGGTGGGATATTAATTAATTAATTAATTAATTAATTAATTAATTAATTAATTAATTAATTAATTAATTAATTAATTAATTAATTAATTAATTAATTAATTAATTAATTAATTAATTAATTAATTAATTAATTAATTAATTAATTAATTAATTAATTAATTAATTAATTAATTAATTAATTAATTAATTAATTAATTAATTAATTAATTAATTAATTAATTAATTAATTAATTAATTAATTAATTAATTAATTAATTAATTAATTAATTAATTAATTAATTAATTAATTAATTAATTAATTAATTAATTAATTAATTAATTAATTAATTAATTAATTAATTAATTAATTAATTAATTAATTAATTAATTAATTAATTAATTAATTAATTAATTAATTCTAGGTGGGAGAAGGCCTTCTGCTAGATATCGAGGTCCTAAACTGTTTAGGGCTTTATAAGGCATCTTTAACACTTCGAAGTCAATGCGGAAACGAATGGGCAGCCAATGCAAAGCAGTCAGAGTGGGAGAGATATGCTGGAATTTTCTCATTCCACTAAGTAATCTGGCTGCCGCATTCTGCACCATTTGAAGCTTCCGCATCAATCTCAAAGGTAGCCCCATGTAGAGTGCATTAGAGCGGTCTAATCTCGAGATTACAAGCACATGGACCAGAGTGGTGAAGGCCCCACCATCAAGCTAGGGATGCAGCTGGGCAATCTGCCACAGATGGTAATTGGCGGAGCGGACCACTGACGCCACCTGGGTTTCCATGGTGAGCGCCGGGTCCACATGTACTCCCAAACTGCAACCCTCACTCTTCACGGCGAGAGTCACCCTCCCCCCAAGAGAGAGGGAGTTTTCCAAACTGCCAATGGAGGCGCCACCCACCCTCAGGACCTCCGTCTTGTCTGGGTTCAGCCTCAATCCATTCTCCTGCATCCATTGCAGTACATTAACTGATAATTTTCTTGGTCAAATCAATGGAAAGAACTTAAGGTTTTAAAACCTTCAAGTATAGGAGAATGTGAAATGAAATATCACTTTGTCTCTAACATTTATTAGCTAGATGTGTGAGAATATTATTTCCGTTAACAGTTTTGAATTGCCATATTCTTCACTTGCATCAATATATTCCCCACAGCATGTTGAATCATTTATTAACTAGATGTGTGAGAATATTATTTCCGTTAACAGTTTTGAATTGCCATATTCTTCACTTGCATCAATATATTCCCCACAGCATGTTGAATACCATGGAAGAACATAAGAAGCATCATATTAGATCATAATATGATCATAAGAACACAAGAAGCATCATATTAAGAACATAAGAAGCAGCATAACATGATCATATGAATATAAGAAGCATCATCTTAGATCAGGCCAAACATCTGTTTAGCACACCATTTCTGCAGCAGCCAATCATAATGTTACCCATAATATTTCTCTCAGTCAAAATGAAGAGTTCAGGATCTGTTGCACTTGTAACACCTGTGGCATATTTGTTTTCTTGCCAATGAAGTGCCTGGTTAGAAATGCTCTAAGAGTGTTAGTTGGTGGTCCTCCTGGAAGAGAAGGTCCGGCCGCTGGATGCCTGTGTTCTAACACCCGCACTCTTAGGGAGCAGGCCAGGTTGGTGGGGTTCATCAGCCTTGGAAGGCAGCCCATCTAGGAAAAGGAAAACACTGATTTCAAACCTCCACTGCCTTGTGACTATATCCACTGATGAAAAAGGCTTCAGAAGTGAACCTCGAGGCAAAATCCAGAGCCAGAGTCCAGGAGGCAAATTTGTGCCGTTTTGGCAACTCCTGTGACCTTGCTGGAACCGGTTGTATTAGCTCTTGCCTTTCTATTGGAACATTTCAGCGATGTGGAGAGGGGGGGATTTGCTGGTTGGGTAACAATCTATCCGCCATATTCTCTTACCCAGACTTTGTGCTCTGGAAAGGACACTCCAGCTTCGCATACAGCATTGAAATAACACCGGAAATAGCAGTTACCGGTTATACATCTTTGCTCGATTGGCGTAGAGCATGACACCAGGGGCTACTTCTGATGATAGGAGAGGTCATTGCACCTCACTAGGTAGCTACCGCCCGCCTTAAGGTGCACAGCCCCCAGCCAGTAAGGTGCTACCTCACCACGGTCTGTTAACCTCATGGGGTGTGTGGGGTTTAGGGTGGAAGATGACAAGCAGATTGATAAACCTGCACCATGCAACAATCGTAAGAAAACCTCTGCCCTAAAGTTGGACACCTAGAATGTTCGGACAATGGCCCCTGGCTTTTCTGACGAACTGCAGAAAATAGATGACTATGCAAAACCACTGTTATTGACATGGAACAAAAAGGGGCTCATGAAAGTGTCATGTCTCTGTTGTGTCCCCTCCTTTGTGTATTATTTCAGTTTATTCTTTGTCTGTCAAATCACCTCAGAAATTTTTCATTTCATACTGTCAGAAGGGCTGTTAGCAGCCTGTCAGAATTTCCAGAGGAAGGAGAGCAATAATGTCTTTGTAAAAGTTGGGCTATAAGAATTTAGCCCTTATAGAGGTGGTAGACCAGTTTCACTTGTCCATAAATCTAGCAAGCACATGTACTTGATTTACATTCTATGTTTTAGGTTAAGCAATTTGATTCCTGGCACAGGGCCATGGCTTTTCCTTAGAATAGCTGTCCTTACCCAATAACAACATTTAAAGAAGATTCATTACCCTAATCACAACTATAATTATTGCTTCAGATGAAAAAAAGGTCAGCCTTTTTTCATCTGAAAGGCACATCATTATTTATGTCCATATTTATTATTTATCTGACCTTGGAAGTACATGAGGATCTAATTTGCCATATTTGTTTAATACATATTTTGTCATGCTCTTTAAATACCCTTGTGAAGCCACTGGGAGAGAATGTCAGGGTGCCAGAGGAGAAATGTCATCAGTACATTGATGACACTGAACTATATTTTTCTTCATCACCTGATGTGATGATGGATTATCAACAATCAAATAGCAACAGCGGCTGGAGGCAACAATAGCTTGGATGAAGACGAATAAACTTGGAATGAATTTTGAATAAATGGACACCCTTCTTGCGGTTAGCTAACGTAATATGTCTCAGTTTTCTCTCCTCCTGATCCCCATAATCACCCCGTCTCCTGAAAAGGACAAAAAGCTAATCCCACAACTATAAATACTCAACTATCCAACAAACTGCACCAGAGCATAGACAGAATTCTGACTACTGTCCTCTG